ATGTATCTACAATGTAGAAATTAGTAAAAAATAAATAAAACCATTCATTTGTGTCTCTCATCTGTTTATAGGCCATAACCCAAGGGACAGTCAAATGCAACTTTTCTGGTGTGGCACTTGGAGACTCATGGATTTCACCACTGGGTCAGTATCAGATATTAAGTATCAACACCATGTGCCAAGAAAGACTTCATTTTAACCATAGGATGAGAACAGATGGCAGGTTTTTGCTGTTGGGGTTAAAAACTGAGAATTCTTTTATGTAAAACTTCAAGCAAGGCTGAGTGAATTTCTGTTGATACAGTGGGAGTGTTTATCTTGAATACACTTCACTTTCATCCACAGACTCTGTTATGACATGGGGACCATATCTCTACACCACTGTAAGTAACACACCATAGACTGCATATATGAACCTGTCTTGATGTCTCCAGTTGGTACAATCCTGCATTTTCACCATTGCGATCTTGGCGTTTTAAAACCGGATGTGATGAGTGAAACATGGACTGAAAAACGTTGCGAGCTCATTGGCTACCACTTATCATTGGGTTCTTTTTTCTTTAGCATAATCTGGTTTATCCTCCTTTCTGTCTCTAATAGTGATCATAACTTACTAAATGAACTCCATTTTGCATTCACTATGACCTGAAATTAGCATCTAATCTCAACAGTGTCGTCATTTACAAAAAATGATGACACTGTCGAGATTATGAAGCTACGATGATCTTTCATATACAGTGTATGTAACACACAGGTAAGAGTCTTTTTGTCCATTGTGTTGAGCTTCCATATAATTCTGTGTGCAGTCCCTCCTGGATGATTACGGCCTGGCAGATGTCAGTAAGGCAGCAGAGGCAGTGAAGCAAGCCGTGGAGCAGGGCCAGTTTCTTAAAGCGACTGAGCTGTGGTCTATGACTGAGTCTGCTGTAGAGCGGGTTTGTACAACACTACATGATTTGGAGAAAATGCTTGCTGGATATTTAATGTATTGTCTAATCTTAAATTGCTTTATGGAAGTGGTGTTCCATCGGGGCAAGCAGGGCAAGCAGTGCTTGTCTAGTAAACTCTACCAACAGACATTAATTTAAACATACAAAAGAAAAAAGCATCTCTCCTTTCATCTCAAACTTCTCACCTGTTTGCAAGTTACTGCCATCTTGTGGCCATAGTTGGTTCGTGGCTCTGGAAGCAGAATTAACTCCGCTTGACTCCATTCTTTGGAATCTGCATCGGCCAATGTTTTCATGGGCAAATCTGTGTCCCAATAAAAATGGCTTCAGCCTGTCAAGCTGAGAAGCCATGTTTGCATATGTACATCATAAACTTCTACTCTCTGACTGATAGTGGAAACTGATATGAAGATAGTGTGTGTGTGTGTGTGT